CTCAGCCTGATCAATGTATTGGCCCTGATGTCAACTTCAACTCCATCCTAGCTATTGATCTTGATTCTGGGAGGATTCAATGGAACAGGCAATTGGGTGGCTACGATGTTTTTTATTTTGCTTGTTTAATTCCTAACAATCCTGATTGTCCTCCAGGACCCAACTTGAGTGCAGATTTTGGGGAGGCTCCTATGTTGCTTACCATCTCTGTTAATGGAACAACTCGTGATGCTGTGGCTGCTGTACAGAAGAGTGGATTTGTATGGTGTTTAGATCGTGACAATGGTAGAATTCTCTGGTCCAAGGTGAGGGATCACAACAAATCTATCTTAATTCTTTCTGTTATAATCGACTCAGACAAATCTCTTACTTAAACAATGTCAATAGCTTTACTATGACAAAAATATGTGAATTGTGCAGAAGGCAGGGCCGGGCGGAATTGAGGGAGGAGGACAATGGGGTGCTGCCACAGATGGGCGAAGGGTGTACACAAACATAGTCAACAGCAACCGTGAAAACTTCACCCTCAAACCAACGACCCAAACAACAACAGCTGGGGCATGGGTTGCTTTGGATGCTAATTCAGGGGCAATATTGTGGTCCACGGCCAACCCCAGCAACGACACTGCCCATGGCCCTGTGACGGTTGCCAATGGAGTACTATTTGCAGGGTCTGTAGCCCCAAATGGTCCTATTTATGCAATAGATACCAGCAACGGCAAGATTATTTGGGCCTACACACTGGTGCAACTGTTTATGGGGGTGCCTCAGCCAACTACGGCTGCATTTACATTGGGCATGGATACAAGGTTGACCCTGCTGCCCAGTTACATCCAACTTGGACTCCAGGAACCTCATTGTTTGCATTCTGTATTGTGTGAAGACTATGAAAGTTTACATAAATAAGGAAAGAAAGACATCAGAGATGTCTTTTATGGTTTTATTTATTCTGCATTAAGTGAAGACCCTATGAAGGTTTCTCATGTTAAAATTTACATAATACAAGGAAAGAAAGAGATCATATTTGTCTTTTATGCTTTTACTTATACTGGTAACTCCCTTTCATTATGAGTCTGTCCTCCCATCAGGTACTCCTGAACAACTCAAGATGTGGCCTAAATTGTGGAGCAAAATCAGCGTCATGTTATTCACCACATCAACCACGTTAGTCATGCTTCCTCAAAACAAAAGTTAATGTTAGTCATCAACCACACAGCATCAGTTCAGCTGGAAGTCGAAATTCAAAGGATTTGGGTGAACCACTGTCCAATCCAGATTGATAAAAACACAACCAAATCTGCTATGAAAAATCCATGAGATTCCTCCACAATCAACACCTAACCCAATAATTAAAAATGAGACAGCCGGTCGCATTTAAAATTTCAAGCATATCATAGATAAATGCTAAGTTTTTTGGGAATCATAATGCAAATAACCAGATAATCCCGGTGTATAGTTCAAAATGAGTAACCTTTCATATTTGAGTATCTTCTATATGAAAGCAAAGAAGTGCAAAACATAAATTTATACAGCAGACCTAAAAAAGAACCAACTCATTAAGTGAAAAGCCTAGATATATTTACTCACCTACATGCCCAAAGTACCAGGAAAACTAAAGAAAGCGGCTGTAGATGCCAACGACTGATTAGTTGACATAGCATCTAGTTATACAACTATCTTCTAATGAACATAAATAAAATTAAATTTGAAGACAAGCGTAGATATGTTTACTAATCTACATGCCCAAAGTACCAGGAAAATTGAAGAAAGCAGCTATAGATGCCAAAGATTAATTAGTTGACATAGCATCTAGTTATACAACTATCTTCTAATAAACATAAATAAAATTTGAAGATAATCACCATATATAGTTCAAAATGAGAAACCTTTCATATCTTAGTATCTTCTGTATGAAGGCAAAGAAGTACAAAACATAAATTTATACAGCAGACCTGAAAAAGAACCAACTCATTAAGTGAAAAGCCTAAATATATTTACTCACCTACATGCCCAAAGTACCAGGAAACTTAAAGAAAGCGGCTATAGATGCCAAAGAATTAATTGATGTAAAATATAGTTATACAACAACTTTCTAATGAACATAAATAAAATTTGAAGAAAAGTTGCATGTATTTTCCCCTCTGAAGGAATGTTAAAAATTGGCTCTGCTACAGCGAAATCACCTCCTCCACTCAGCCCTGATTGTCTTATCTGAAAAATGTAAATTAAAAATGCTGGACAGTCAGAATGACAAACAAGCTTCCAATATTTTTAGTGCCCTCATCAGATTTACCAGTTCTATGTGGAGACAACCTCAATTCAGACGCGGAGGAAAAAACTAATCAACTTGAGGAAACACTACGCTTTCTAACCCATAGGGAAGGTTATTGACTTTCTAACCAAGAGTAAATACTTTGTACATGGGTGGAAAACCCCTTGGTGGCGTATACTTAATATATACTCTTTTTATCTCAAAAAAAAAAAAATTGTAGCGAAGGAGATTAATGCAAGATGATTTTCTGTCCCATCAAATATTCTAAGGTTAATATTCCAAGGCCTATAGCTCCAACATCATGCATACCATTTTCTCACAGTGAAATGAACTAAAAAAAGATTATGTATACATCTAAATGCAAAGAATTACATGCATATATCTATATGCATGCAAATGCAACTATCTGGTGTAACAACTAAACTCTTCCATATTAGTCTTTAGAAGATACCCAGAAAAATAAAAAGAATTATCATCTAGAGAAAAAATTGAAAAGCAGACAAATCCAGTAGAAAGATCAAGGTGCGTGAAAAACTTTATAATGCTCTTACCACAACCATCTCTAGAAGATGATAGTGATCTCTCACTGTTGATCAATCCTTTGCCAGAGCCTTGAACCAACCTCACAGCTCTTGGAGATGATGAACTGAATTTTCCATTGGCCAAAGATGGGAGAGAATGCCGCCGTGTTAAACCATTTTTCTCAAAACCATCTTCTGAAAACCTAGGGGAGTCTTGTCCTCTCAGCTTGGCCTTAGCAGATTCAGTTGGTGCCATATAACTAGGAACTTTCCGAGCGCTATGCAATCCACTGTCTTGATTATCCACCATCTTTGCGGGTAAAGAAGCTCTTCGTTCACTTGCTTGTGAGTTCTCATTGCTGATGCTATCACCTTTAGAGCATAACTCGGTATTTGTCCCTCTGATGCTTCCAATTTTACCAGTGATCTCGACAGTATGCAAGCCAATAGTGTGATTGTCATTTAACTCTTTCAATGAATTATCCGAAACTTCTAATTTCTTATCGGTCTCAACATCAGTCTGTTTTGCTGTTGCCACAATCATACCTTTCCTCTTCTCAGCAGATTCACCAGCAGCCTTCCCAGAAATATCTGAGACTGCAGATTTTGAAACACTCCTAAGACTATACTTTGGTTTCTCATTACTAACCTCAAATAAGTCAGAAGAAACTTCCCTTGTTGAATCTGTACTTTTTCTTGCATGTTGCTTAAGCTTGTAAGTGTCATTTTTAGGATGCTCGCGAACTGAATCTATGGGTTGTTCAGAAACCTTTCTCACATAGCGTTTAGGTTTTTCTTTCCCTGAAGTAGATTGATTTGGACTGCTTTCAGAATTCACACTGGACACCTTCCTAACACCTTGCTTCCGTCTTCCTGGTTGGGTTTCAACTGTCTTAGAATTTCCACTCTTTGTCTTGGAATTTGAACCAACATTCTTATTCACTGGCAAAGAAGGTTCCCAAAAGCGCAATCTTGTCCAACGTTGAAGCCATTCCCAGGCTGAGTTAGGTTCCCCTGGAGTGTATTGAAGCTGTAAAGGTAGTACAGTTGGTGCTGGAGCCAGAAACTGAAAGTGATGGATATACAAACATAATCACACGCTTAGTTTGGAAAACCAGAAAAGAAAAAAAATAATAACAGCATGCCATATAACATGACCTCCCTCCCTTGCGTGAAACTGTAAAGGAATCAGAATCACTTGGTGAGAAAAAGAAGGTTCTAGATAGTAGCTGGAAGGATGCATCAAACATTCATTATAACATGATTTCTACATATTTGGATATGCTATAAAATTTGCTTAATTGGTACAAAATCTCACGATATGTCACTGTCTCATAACATCTAGCTCCATCATGTATTATCTCTTACGATCAAGCAGCTACACAAGCATGTGCCATGCCATTTTGACTGAAATTTACTCCATCAAAAAGGGTAATGCAGAATGGATTTACTGAGATTTCCTAAATAGATCAGAAATTATATTTCTTTCAAATAAAAAATTAATGTGTTACTTAAGAGTCTACAATTATAAACTACTGCATATACATAGGAGTATCTTATTATAGTTTTAGCATTGATATCAATAAAGTACTCTATTGTTATTTGGAAAACATGTATAGGTGGGAAGACGTTGGAAATGTCATAGATACTACTACTACTCTGTAAATACATTGTACATGGGTGGCACCTACTTGGTGCCTATTAATATACTCTTACACTTTTTATTTTAAAAAAAAAAAATTGTTTGGAAAACATAGAAAGCACCATAAATATTTGTGTAAGCTCACTTTTGAGCACAGTCCAGTTATTCAATAAATAGTAGAGAATTTTCTCCATCATTCTGGTCTTGTGATGCAACAAACCTTAAGTATGATACTTAAAGATTCTGAAGTCTAATATCTAAGAAACTCTAAGTGATATGTCTAAGTGATGTTTTTATCCACAAAATTCTCAAGTAGACAAAATCCTTAACTTTTCCCACATCAAAGGGGCTCCTTTCAGGTATAAATGACCAAAGAAAATTGCTGACCATAAAGTAATTCACACACTGCATCTTGCAGATCCCAATGAATATCTAAATATCCTACAAAAATGATTAAAGATGTCTGTTGTGGTTTATTTCCAGGGAAAACAAAAGAAAGAAAGATGTTTGTTGTGGCAAAATTCCCTAAAAATCAGTTTCCAGACCTTTTAAGCATTTCCAGCCGGCAGAAGTATTGAAGGATGGGAGACAGTAGGGCTACAACAGGGCAATAAGAAATGTGGAAAGTTCATTTTGTTAGGAAGGTACCTTAAAAATTGATAGATGGGGACAGCAAGCCTCTTTTTTTGGGCCCTAGACAAGGAAAAAGCTTACCTAGGAACTAATCTCATTAAACCGGCATCCATATGAAGTATGCAGAAAACACCATAGCACAGCTGGATTTAATAGATTTTCCATAGAAAGATGTTTGGAAGAGGAAATGTCCTCCATCATTATCATTTTTGCTCGGGATGCTTCAATGGAAAGGATCCTCACCATCGAGACCTTAAAGAGAAGGAGATAAAAGTTCTTGTAAACAGGATGCAGAAAGGCCTTGCCGCACCCTTTTGCTGTGCTCTTGAACAAGGAGGCTTTAGCAATCATGGGAACAAATTGGGCAGTGGTTGGGATGTTGTTGATGAGCTTGGCACTTGCAATGGAACAGAGGTGGACACCATCAAGAAGAGGGATAG